CCCCGCTAACCTAGCACAGATCGCCTGCCCAACAAACCTCCATAAACGCAACTCCACTCTCCCCACAAATGAACACTGCCGCTTACCTTCACGCACCCACAGCCACCTTTCCGCAGTCATTCACCAGGACTCGCAAACAAACAAATCCCCACGAAAAAAAAAAGATGTCGCTCCTCCCTGGAACCCCTCCCGTGCAGTCAGGCCAAAAATCGCAACACACACACAACACAACCGTCCGTCACGCGATCACACAACGCCAACGTGCGCGTGATACATGCACGCACACACTCGCCTTCATCTCTCCACCGCTTCATTCCTGCCTACAACACTCTGCCATACGATAACCCCACTCTCGTTCCAAAACTCTCAAAATGCCGCACCAAACATACCAAACAATAACGACATTCAACAAGCCAGTGGTTCCGCACCCACTTTCTGCTCTGCCTGTTCACCCAAAAATGCAGTGACACCTCCATTTTCACCCAGTCACACTCCGACGACTAAAAGGACCTCAATAGCTGCTCCTCCATAATTCAGCACAGGTCCGCTGCCTATACGGCATCCACAATCGCCGACATACTTGCCAAGCAAGCGAACGTTCCACATAACCCCAAGCACCCAAAGACACACTCCACAACCCATAGTTGCGCCACCCCAACACAAAGATTATCACAGCGACCAAGACCCGATATTTGGCTCCCCCGCTCAACTCTAGAACACCCTCAACAAAACCCTCTTCCCTCCAACATGCCATCAAACGCAAACGTCGTGTCCGCAACATGCATGGACACTGTCCTTTGCACCCACGTCCTGCTCCGCCCCAACGTACACAGATACGACCGCACGCGCTCTAACTACTAAACGCCCTCGCAAACGTACGCTCACCGACTCACCTAACAGACATCCACAAACGCCGCCCCACCATTCTAACGACGACAAACGCTGACGCCTTGCCACCTAACTCCGCACACTCAAAGCCCAGCTCTCCTCAAACCACAGCCTCGTCACTGCAACACACAAAATCTCACCTCTGCACATAGCATGTCACGCTCCTCAGTCAGCTAGCCCAAACGGACACGAGAGGAACCACATCCGATGCTCAACCCTTCAACGCCTACGCTTTATCCCTCCTCCCTTCGGCACAGCAACATATGCACACAAACTGCACACATCCCAAAAGCAAGCTTGTGTTCTCCTGTTCGTCACGTACGCTGAAACCACCACTGGTTCTGCACCCACTCCCTGCTGCGACTGCATCCCCAATACACAAAGCACCCAAGCTTTCGCACCTAACTGCAATAAGCAACTCAAATGAATTTTCCTGGCCACTCTGCCCTGCTCGGCTCCGCTCAGTATATATCGCCTGCCTGTGTCTCCCTGTCAAACCAGCACCTTCATTGCACAAACTCCCTTCTACATGTTTTCGCCTTCAATGTCACACTTCACTTGACATTTTTATATGCTGCTCCAAACCCTGACTCTGAACTAAGTATATACACCACGTTTTCCGCACGTCAAGGCACCCATACAAGTACCCACGCCAAAGCTCGCACAAGGATGCAGTCGAAGCAACCATGTGCAGCTTCGTTTCGCTTTGTGAGTCATAGTACAGCCTCAGCGTCCCCAGGCACACTCCAATTGACGCGTGCCACTTCCGGTACAAATCTACAGAAGCATCGTCCCCTTCGTCGTCCCATGCTGTCCATAGCGTAGATTCGGCGCGCATCGCGAGCCCCAAGCTGATTCGCCCGATTGAGAGAAGCTAATCAGCAAATGATCCTTGACGCACCTGCTTCTTTCTCTGCTCCCCACAACAGCTGCTACCCACCCGCTCACAACCACGTACAACCAGATGCTCTAAGCGTCGCCATTTCCTGCTGATCTACTGTGTCCCCTTCGTTCCGGAATTCGCACACGGCGCCGCTATAAGCTCCCAATATTAATCCACTGCCAATGTGCTCCTCCACAAAACTGCGCACTGCGCAGTTATTTGCTCATGTGTCCCGTCGTCCAAGACACACATTTTTGTACATTTGCCGTCCCAGCGAAGTACGCCCAGCCAAACGATGACGATGCACGCACTCGCTTCTTCGACTGAACATTGCAAAGATTGACAGCCACACACTCACAACCACGTAAGCATCAGTGGCTCTTGCAGCCGCCTCGCCGCTGCACGCTGCTCTAAGACTCCAGCACCGACGCGTCGTCGTTGCGTGCCCCTGACATACTCTCACAGCACCCACTATCAACAACTACCTTGCCTCACATACACCCAGCCGTGTCAGCCGCCTCACCACCTCTCGCAAACTTCAACACTCACCAAGCACCTGCCTCCGATGCGCCGGAAACTGCAAAGTTCGACTCCTTTCAACGTCCTTCAACTTCTCCACTGGTGCAATAGCCGGCAGCGAATACAAATCTCCCTGCCACAGTAGCGCATATTCCCCAAATCCACCCCTTCCAGTACTACCACACTTCTAGTGTCCACATACACAAAGCGGCAAGCCGCACGACCCAACGCATCTGTGCGTACTTTCTTCTTTGCCTACAACGCCAACGTAACCACCAGCCACACAATCACACCAACCTACACTCCAACACCTTAGTGTTCTCGCTGACTCTTCCTCAACAACTCACCGCAGGCCCTCTACCTGGTGAATGGATGCCCCATGGACCAGCGTTCCTACGTACTCCCAAACACCCAAAGGCACTCACCACAACACACAACCTCGTCGTGCCAACACGCCAACCGCCACAGCAGCACCCAACAATTCGCTTCCATCTGGTCCCCCTCATGCGTACACACACGCATAACGCGCACGCACCCAACGATCAACACTCAGACCCCATCAACCTCTCCCACGTGCAGTCGACACGCAACCACACACAGCCAACGTGCGTCCAACACGCATACACGCTCGCTTCTGTCTCCTCCCCATCTCGTTCCCTCACACACCACCCTGCAGTGCGACAACCGCCTTTCACTTCAAAAATCCCAAACTGACGCACTAAGATAACAACACCCAACAACCCACTGGTCGGTACTCACTTCCTGCTCCGCCTGCACGCCCAAAATAATGTTGACACACGCAATTCCGGCAGGTCGCACTCCAACGCCTTGACGCCCTCACCAGACGCTCCTCACCAACCCACCACAGGCCCGCTCACCAAAGAAACCCTACCCTCGCCACTCCACACGCCGAGAGAACGAACACTGCCAACTGCCCTCAAACGCCCAATTACGCCCCACAAAACCCAATGCATTGTCACGCCAATTCATAACGCCTCATGTCAGCAACTAACTTCTGGACCCCACCTCGCATGCATACATACAAACATCTATATATACCCCAACATACACACGAACAATCGGAACACCCACACGCACTCCCAGCAACGCTCCATCCCCCTAATATGCCATGACACTCAAACAACGTCCCAGCAGCACGCGTACAAGCTCGATTCCGCACTCACCTTCTGCTCCGTCTGCATGCCCAAACGACAAACGCCCTCGCAGTCTCACCAAGGCATACTCCAACGAACAAACGCCCTCACCAAAGGCTCCTCACCAATTTACCACAGTTCCTCGGACCACTGAACCTCCACAAACGCCACTCCGCAGACCCAACAAAAGAACAGACCCTTTATCTCCACGCAACTAAACCCGATACCCCGACCTCTCAACGCCATGTGTCCTAAACAAACAATGCCGAACATACTCGGCTCCCCTCCCAAAACCCTCACGTACATACACACAAAACATCACAGCATACATGCATGCAACAACCGGTTCCGCATCATTCCCAACGATGCTGCGTTCCCTTGACATGCCGTCGCACGCAGTCAACATGCCTGCAACATGCCTGCAAGCACGGTCCTGTACCCACTCCCTGCTCCGCCTGAAAGCTTGAAATGCCGAGGACACAAGCAGTCCCACCAAGCAGCACTACAACGCCTCTTAACGTCATAACCAACAGCTCCCCGCTAACCTAGCACAGATCGCCTGCCCAACAAACCTCCATAAACGCAACTCCACTCTCCCCACAAATGAACACTGCCGCTTACCTTCACGCACCCACAGCCACCTTTCCGCAGTCATTCACCAGGACTCGCAAATAAACAAATCCCCACGAAACAAAAAGGATGTCGCTCCTCCCTGGAACCCCTCCCGTGCAGTCAGGCCAAAAACCACAAAACCTAGCACCATGCGTACAAGCTCGTTTATCGACCCACTCCCTGCTCCTTCTGCATGCCCAAACGACAAACGCCCTCGCAATCTCACCAAGGCATACTCCAACGAACAAACGCCCTCACCAAAGGCTCCTCACCAATTTACCACAGTTCTTCGGACCACTGAACCTCCACAAACGCCACTCCGCAGACCCAACAAAAGAACAGACCCTTTATCTCCACACAACTAGAACCCAACACCCCAACCTCTCAACGCCATGTGTCCTAAACAAACAATGCCGAACATACGCGGCTCCCCTCCCAAAACCCTCACGTACATACACACAAAATATCACAGCATACATGCATGCAACAGCCGGTTCCGCATCATTCCCGACGATGCTGCGTTCCCTTGACATGCCGTCGCACGCAGTCAACATGCCTGCAACATGCCTGCAAGCACGGTCCTGTACCCACTCCCTGCTCCGCCTGAAAGCTTGAAATGCCGAGGACACAAGCAGTCCCACCAAGCAGCACTACAACGCCTCTTAACGTCATAACCAACAGCTCCCCGCTAACCTAGCACAGATCGCCTGCCCAACAAACCTCCATAAACGCAACTCCACTCTCCCCACAAATGAACACTGCCGCTTACCTTCACGCACCCACAGCCACCTTTCCGCAGTCATTCACCAGGACTCGCAAACAAACAAATCCCCACGAAAAAAAAAAGATGTCGCTCCTCCCTGGAACCCCTCCCGTGCAGTCAGGCCAAAAATCGCAACACACACACAACACAACCGTCCGTCACGCGATCACACAACGCCAACGTGCGCGTGATACATGCACGCACACACTCGCCTTCATCTCTCCACCGCTTCATTCCTGCCTACAACACTCTGCCATACGATAACCCCACTCTCGTTCCAAAACTCTCAAAATGCCGCACCAAACATACCAAACAATAACGACATTCAACAAGCCAGTGGTTCCGCACCCACTTTCTGCTCTGCCTGTTCACCCAAAAATGCAGTGACACCTCCATTTTCACCCAGTCACACTCCGACGACTAAAAGGACCTCAATAGCTGCTCCTCCATAATTCAGCACAGGTCCGCTGCCTATACGGCATCCACAATCGCCGACATACTTGCCAAGCAAGCGAACGTTCCACATAACCCCAAGCACCCA